GTGCTAATGTGTTGCTATGGCGACAAGGTGACCAATGGAGAGGCAAAGTTTCAGATTACGGCACTGCTAATGTCATACAGCAGACCATGACAGTGGCTCCTGGAGCTATGATTTACAGCGCACCTGAAGCACTTACATCAAACCAGACAGTGAAGGTAAGTTGTTTATTGAATTTTCGAGAATTTCAAAGACTCATTGAATTTACAAATGTACAGCAATGCTAATATTTGCGTAAGTGTTTGGTCCGGATCAGTCATAGAAGTCTTTCGGCTCCGACAACATTTGTAAAGAAATACCGGAGTTTTCACAAGTCCTCAGGTGCCTGTGGCCTTGCGAAAACTCTAGTTTTTCTCTACTAAAGTTATCGGTACCGTACAACTTTTTTGAATGGTCCGGACCAAGTTATTCTGTAGAGTAAACGCGTGCTCTTGTGACCCTTGCTCATCACCGAATCCACCTTCAGTTTAAATTTCTTTTCTTGCAACGTATCGGCCGTGGTTTCCTCTTTCCATTGTTATCATTGGGGCCTAGGGGAGAAGCGGCGGCGTTTATGGTGCTTATAATGTTCTTGTGCTTTGTATTTCGTCGGCTGTCATTAGTAAATAGGGAATGAAGGGGTTGGACTCACAAAGTTATACAGTGTTAAGGCATTTTCAACGACCAACTGTTTTTTTCTTTATTCAAATATGTCAATCCTGTTTAGGTTTAAAAAAAAGAGCCCTTTGCTCGTCCCGTCCCGTCCTGTCTTGTTCCTCTACAAGCTCTTGCGCGCTCAAATTCTTTCCTCTTCCACGCTTCTTAGTTTCTAGTCAACCTCTTAAACCATTGCATAGTGGGTTCTGGTGTCTCCAAATGGAACTTCTCTCAGTTGACTCAGTTGGGCTGCGGTGCTCAACTGCCCCAGACTTCAACCGTAATATGTCACAGACATCCCAGGGAAAAAAATATTGACTTATTCAAATGATGTATTGTTGTTAGGTTGATGTTTACAGCTTTGGTGTTCTTCTTTGTGAAATGTGCATCCGGCAACTTCCAGATCCCCGAAGGCGTGAAGAACAAGTGGTCCTTGTAACAAATAGTGCGTTTCGTGGCCTGGTACGGCGATGCCTGCAGAGAGAGCCTAGGGCGAGACCAACCATGCAGGAGATAATCGATCAACTGAAAGAATTCGATGCAAATTCTTAACTGTCAAATCAACGGTATGCAATGTGATTGATAATTCGCAATTTGTAAGAACACTGTGCTGAAAAAAACAGTAGAAAAAATAGCGACAGCTTGCAATGAACATTTTTTGCTGAATGTCTGGACATGAGTTAGGTTTAAGAGTGGTTGTCAGAGAAAACCGGGCAAAATGTTAAAAATGTCAACGGAAGGGGGTCAACAGAATAAGTTCATACTAACATCACAGATAGGTATGGTGGAGTATTGGACAAATATACCAAACATAGGTTCTTCACTGCTCTTGTATTAGAGATACGAGCATCACTTTATTCGACCCCCTCGGACGCCATTTTTATAAGCAAATTTTCACCATTTTCTGAAACTCACAGAACCCTCAAAATTTAATGAGCGAAGTTTATTTTTTGCATGCGATACAATACATCACAGAACTACTTTCTAAAACCATAAGATTTGTTAAGCAGCCACGGACAAGACTAAAATTTTCTTATTTCATCTGACCTAAACTCAGTGTCTGCAAACGAGCAAAAAATCGGGCATTTTTGAATTGATCTACAGCGCACAACTAAAACGACAGAACAACTCTGACAGCCAAATTGCAGTCTACTATCATCCATGTAACCAAAACACTAATAATCATTTTGGGCCATTGAAACAGGAAGAAATTAGAAAACTCACATTTGTTATAGTTTCCAAGCTTTTTCTTTCAAACAGGCCGATCCCTTCGTGTTTGTTTTAAGTCCTCTTCGTGAATTTTCTTCCATATTTCGCTGTAAAGTATGTTCAGCAGCTGGAGGAAATATCAAAAAGCTCGAAATACTGCCTAGGTTATATGTTCAAAGGGAAAAAGTGCTGAACGATAGGATGAAACTAGAAAATAACAAACCGACGCCATCTTGAAAATTCAGCACTCAGGAGGGACTGGCACTAGTAGCTGCGTTCGATGTCTTACATACGGACAAAAATTGCAAATTTTCCACGAGCACATAGAAAACCAAACCGAATATAGAAATGTAACCAGAAAGCCTCGGATTCATGTTGGAATTTTTCTTCATCGAACGTGGGCTATTACGAACTATTACCAGGAGCCTATGGGCTCCTGATTACCAACAAGATAAAAAACAAAAAAACAAACAAACCAGCTTATCAGCGACCTACTCCAGTCTTATTTCTTCTTTAATTACTTCTATTAGTTGAATTTAGCTTTAGAAGAACGCCTGATCGCAGGTTAATTGGTGATTAACTGGTATTGCTTCATTCCCTCCTCATTTAGAGGTGTCCCGTGAATGTAGATAATATTAAAGATCTATTTTGTCTCTTTATGAATCACTTAACTTCGCTCTCATGCGAGCTAGCTAGACTTGCTATATATCAACCTCGCGAGTTTCGAAGCGGCGGGGTAACTGCGGGCAGTGGATATTGCTTGCTGTAAAATTTGCAATAATTTCTATTACCAACTGTTTGTTAAAATAAACATAGTACATGCAGTTGAATCAGGGTGCGGAGCGGGCATTTTAGGCCGCAAGGCGGCCAAGAGAGCCAGCGGACGAAGTACTTATTTGAAAGTAAGCCTTCTAACTGATGATCTCATCGCTGTCACTTCGCATTTCCATAAGGTAACAGACCTTCGAATGTTGACAAGAGCTGTCAAAATAAACCATTCATAGCGTTTACCAGAATCTGGTATACCGGAAGAATCCGGAAGGGGCTTTTGTTGAAAAGTACCATAAAGGAGTTTTTAGGACTCTCACTCCGTACCCCTTCCCCTCATTGTTTTTCCTGCTCACTTCTTTTTCAGAATGCTCTTTGCACGGTCCACACAGGATAAACGCCATGTTTAGAGGGAACGCGCAAATTCTCTTACAGATTGCGGTACTGTTTGCAGCTCAAAAACTTCATGGTTCCGCCGGTCGCATGTAAAGAAAAGGCGGATCCGTGTAAGTTTTTGGCCGTTCAAAATTTGTAAAAGGGGTCTGAGTGTTTTAAAACTCGAGTTGGTACCTTTTCGATCATATTGATCATTGATAGAAGTCGTACACCTGGACGTTTACAGCCACTAGGTTCCTTTTAGTTTACTGGTGTAGCTGTGAAAGAATTCGCATCTCCTACATCTCTTCGTCACTGGATTTGTCAAAAACACTACTCTCACTACGTTGTTTAACATAACCATTCCTCACATTTAGAGAAATTGTCAAGGTCTTGCCTGAAATTCAGAGGAGGCAATGATGACAGAAATGGAATTTATTCATCTCCTAAGGAGGTAATTTCCAACTCCATTTCGTTTGTTAATCTTTTCCATAGCCTCCCTCACATCCCCACGAAACACGAGCTCCCCTAAAAACGCCTGCGTGGGAGGCCACCTTTTCCACGGCGCTGTTGCAAAAAAATGCGCGCGCGAGTCACACGAGATGGCACAAAATGTGCTAAAATTAGCACATTTAATGGCTATGATATATACTTCAGGGGCACCCAACGACAATTTTCGGAACATATCTGTTGGGAAGACGATTAGCGATCTAGAATTTTCGGAATATTTGTTGTAAATTTCTTGCTTGCCTGCCTCTCCAAGGATTTTCGAACATCTAAAAAATGGTATAATTTCCCCATTTTTAACGGATTTTTTCCCGTAAAAGGTCACATAGAATTTTCGGAAGCCTTTTTTCTGGCTGAAATTTCCGAGAAGGTAAGGTTTGATCCCTATAATTTTCGGATCACCAGACGTTCAGCTAGAAAATCCGACAGATGAAAAATTTCTAGGGGATAAAAATATGCCTATATCTACCGTTTAAATACTAAAATACGTTTAACAATGCTATGTTTAAGTGGTTTTGAACTATCTTCTCGTTGGGTACCCCTGATATTTCGATGAAGTCAACCCCATCCCTGGAAAAGGTATCCAGTTACGGTCTACTACCCCGATTTAGATAAATATGGCTCCTGGTAGAGTATAAAAACGTAATTTTGTGCTATTTCACAGCGTAATTAGCGTTGCTGGATAACTCTGTCCGCCATCAGGAGCCCGTAAACCACAATTAAAACCAAAAAATGTATGAGTAAAGACTACACATCAATATTAATATTAATCTTGTAAAAATTCTTGTATGAGCCATTAAAATTGTTGAATGACTTTCTTCACCTCAGACACTCGTGTCAGTCAAGTGTGAATCGAAGTCCCCCATTTTGCCTTTTTGTTCAAACAAACCTCTGACCTAGCAGCCCGGCTGCATCTTGCGCCCATCATCTGCCCCAAAAGGTGAGGATCTGGCTCCTTTTTCATAGGAAATTCATAAATTTTCTACTAAAACACTGTGCAATATGGAAGCAAGGCCAATTTAACCATGAAGAGCGGCACTAAGAGCTGCTCAGATATCTCAGAATTGAAAAAAAAAAACTAGTAAGAGAAATTGCTCAGAAATTATGCAAAAAGTTGCGTGAAACGAAAATAGTTGCCAAAAAGTTGCCGAGCAACTTGTGGAAAGCCCTAGGGAGAAGGGGAGGGGGCGGAGAGGTTGGGAGGCTACTCAATAAAGCTTTGTTCGGAGAGGCTTCGCCCCGAGGTCCAGTCCCTCACCCTTGAATACACTATTTTTGACAAAAGATACCCCTTTCGTGTATCTTCCATTGAAAAGTTGTATCCTTTTCATATATATGCTTCGTGAGAATAACTCGGTAAGAAAGGAGGTCTTAAGGTCATGTTCGTGTAACCTTTAACTGATAAATGTAAATGATATTGCCATAAGGTGTGTTTCTTCGAAGCATTTGATAAAAGGCCCTTTAAAATACTTAATAAAAGATTTTTCTCTCCACTACCCTTTGTTACTCCTGATGCTTGAAAGAGGTACCCTTCGGGCGAAGCCTTCCGGGCTATGAAAAGTGCATCATGAAATCATGAACAGGAGATGAGTAGACCTTCGGACATGGACGGTGATTCAAGACTGACGCAAAAATAGATGATACAATAAAGAATCCAAAGAAACGCTAAGACTTATACGGGTAACTCAAATGAAGTGAATGAAGAGTAAACGAAGACTGAATAAAGTAACGGCAATTGGTCACCTTCACCACACCCTATCACTCCGCCCAAAAAAACCGACAACACCAAAAAGCTAAATTTAACTAAAAGTAGTGACCGAAGAAGAAATAGGACTGTAGTAGGTAACTGATAAACCGTTTTGTTTGTTTGTTTTTGTTTTAATCTATTTGGTAAACTTGGCAGCTACTAGTGCCAGTCCCTCCTAAGTGCTGAATTTTCAAGATGGCGTCGCTTTGTTATTTTCTAGTTTCATCCTATCGTTCAGTACTTTTTGCCCTTTGAATATGTAACCAAGGCAGTATTTCGAGCTTTTTGATATTTCCTCCAGCTGCTGAACATACTTTACAGCGAAATATGGAAGAAAATTCACGAAGAGGACTTAAAACAAACACGAAGGGATCGGCCTGTTTGAAAGAAAAAGCTTGGAAACTATAACAAATGTGAGTTTTCTAATTTCTTCCTGTTTCAATGGCCCAAAATGATTATTAGTGTTTTGGTTACATGGATGATAGTAGACTGCAATTTGGCTGTCAGAGTTGTTCTGTCGTTTTAGTTGTGCGCTGTAAATCAATTCAAAAATTCCCGATTTTTTGCTCGTTTGCAGACACCGAGTTTAGGTCAGATGAAATAAGAAAATTTTAGTCTTGTCCGTGGCTGCTTAACAATTCTTATAGTTTTAGAAAGTAGTTCTATGATGTGTTGTATCGCATACAAAAAATAAACTTCGCTCGTTAAATTTTGAGGGTTCTGTGAGTTTCAGAAAATGGTGAAAATTTGCTTATAAAAATGGCGTCCGAGGGGGTCGAATAAAGTGATGCTCGTATCTCTAATACAAGAGCAGTGAAGAACCTATGTTTATTATATTTGTCCATTACTCCACCTAACCTATCTATGATGTTAGTATGAACTTATTCTGTTGACCCCCTTCCGTTGACATTTTTAACATTTTGCCCGGTTTTCTCTGACAACCACTCTTAAATTGTTTATCATAATTTAACTGTAAAAATTAACCACATATAAGAACCTGCTTGATTTAGCTTGCCTAAACAGGTTCTTGTATTCTTAGGTAATAAAGTGTAGATTTCTGGCAGGAGGTTCTTAACCACAGGTTCTTATTAGCGGGTGATTACTGTAACTGCCTCTATAGTCAAACCAGTCAAACCTGTATTAAGTGGACCTCTATAAGGGGTCACTAATTAAAGTCCTGGAGATAGCTTCCCTTAATTATTGCAAACACTGAGCTGTATTTAACGGTTACCTCTATTTAGAAGCCGTGGTCACCTGTTTTCAAGGTCCCAATGAGTAATTTGTTATTGTCTTTTATTACCTCTATTAAACTGTCCCTTTGACAAGATGTGCCATACTAGTGCAAAAGGATACACTGTGTAGGGCGTTTATTGGTCGTTTACAGACTTGCCAAGCCCCAAAAGGCAAAAAATGTGAGATTCTGAACCAGAGCTGGGAAAGAAGTGAGAAATGGGTAAAAAGTCGTGAGAGATTTCAGTGAGTTTATGGGTATTAGAAGTCACTATATCACTTAAAACTGGAGCAGTAAACATGACGATCAACTTTCAATTAAGGTTTTGTAAATTCTGTGTTTTGTTGGCGCCATTTTGAAACAAGAGAAACAGTAAGTCTACACATTTGGTGGCAGCGGCGAGTTGCGCGGTAGCTAAAAGAATAGTCGCTTTTAATTACATTCTATTACTGTTTTTTTTTGGGTTGAGCTGGCTATCTATTGATATCTAACTTAGAAACGAACCCAACAGCTCCAAAATGTTTTGGAGATAGCGTGAGAAATCACTTGTCAACTCGTGAGAGCGTGAGACAGGTACTAAAATCGTCAGACTCGCGACAAAGTCGTGAGACTTGACAAGTCTACTTTTACTTCATTTCTTTTGGTACAAGAAAGCTAGAAACAGTTTGAGGTCAATCTGTCGTGGGACAGTTTTTTGCTCTTTCACCATCTTCGTTTTTTTGAATATTAACTCCTAGGTTTGCAAACCTGTCAACCTGTATTAACCGGTGAGCGAGCCATTCCCAAGGATGACCGCTCTATACAGGTTTGAGTTTGCTAACCTAAATTATATCATTATCTTTTCTTACCGTTTCAGTTTTACATTATGCCTGAAACTACAATGAAGGTCACCAAGGATACAGTGACCATTAGTGGGCTGGATTATGGAGGACAAAATCAGGTTCAGCTAAAAGATGCTGATCCAATTGAGCTTCAGCTTTTTATTGAAAAGTTGCCCGCCTCTATCAAAGGTAAGACTAAGCGTATGAAATGTAATTTCCAATACTTTTTTATTTTGGTTTTGAAACAAAGAGGCACATAGTGTATAGATACAGGCAGATCAAGCTTATGGCGAGAGTTCAGTAGTTAGTTTGGTGGTTAAACCCATACAGTAAGTCAGACAAAAATGATACAGGTAGACCAAGCTTTATGGTGTCAGTTGTTAGTTAGGTTTTGGTTTTTGAATTTAAAGGCATATGGTTAAACCCGTACGGATACAGGCAGCCCAAGCTTATGGTGTGACTAGTTAGTCTGGTTTTGGTTTTTGAATTTAAAGGCCTATTACGGGTAAACCCATACATTGTGTCTGGATACAGGCAGCCCAAGCTTAAGGTGTGACTGGTTAGTTTGGTTTTGATTTTTTAATTTTAAGGCATATAGTTAAACCTGTACAGGTAGTCAGGCAATGATACAGGCAGCCCAAGCTGTTGGTATGAGAAGTTAAATTGTCTGTAGGTTTTGGTTTTTGAATTTAACGACATATGGTTGAACCTCTGTACATGTGAAAGGATAACGAGGCTGTAATATTAAAATTTCTAAGTGAAATATCCAGACTCAATAATGAGTCAGTTATAAAAACAGAGTTTTATGAACGGTGCCAAACAAAATCGCGTTGTTAACACTTATTAATTTGGTCTCCTCATTTTCGGCCTTTCCGTGTCTTTTACGCCGCAAAATATTTTAATTGACATAATTAGTGCAAAATGTAATGACACTAAGCATTAACAGCTTTTTGGCGAAAATGTAGCAATCATATACAGTAACGCAAAGCGGTGTAACAAACTGTTCGCACAAAACGTAACAACTACTTTTGCGCGAAATATTACAATTCAAAATGTAACAAAATTAAGTTGTTTAGATATAGAAAACGTGTTTAGATATACAAAAACTGTAATTCATGTTTACCGTTGAAACTGTCAACTGTATGCGGCACTCTGAACGAATCTGTTGTTATTCAATAATCAAAGTCGATCGCAATCACGCAATGAAATAAGCTTCAATATATACACACGAACACGTCGAAAACACAACAATTTGCTTTAATCGAAGAAAGAAGCTATTTGGTCCTTAAAGCAGCTCTAAATGAAAAACCTACCGACCCTCCGCAGTGATTCTTCATTCGTTGTTCAATTTAACAATTCAGTTTCGAAGACAAGGGCGATTTTTCAGTTTACGGTAAAATTTTTTGAAATCCACGCAAGCATGCCAGAGATGCACTCCGCTGAATATCAAAGGACAATCCAGCTAAAATTTTTCATAATTATGCGAATGTTCAGACCTTGCTGAGAGGAGGAAAAGACACAAAGTAATCGCCTAAAATTCAGGCTACCAGAAAAACAGCTGAAATTAAATAGGTAATGGTGTCATTTCGTTGCTATGACAACCTGATCATAACACATTTTCCCTTTATCTAATATAGGCTGTGGAGCTGATTTTTCCAAATCTTTGTTTATGGCAACGTATCTAATGCTCAAACTTGGGACCCTGAAAAATCCAATCGAGCCACCTTAAAATACTGAGGGCACCGACCATCTATGCATTTCCTCACAAGTAGGCTATGTTGATCAAGCCTTGGACATGGTCATTTTAACATGTTCGTTCAGCTAAGGTGTTCATCCCAGATAACACCCAAATATTTAAACTCAGTAACGCGCTTTATGGCAGAGCCATTGATAGTAACTGAGAACTGATTTTTCTTACCATGCTTCTGTGAAGAACCAAACAGCATTGCCTCAGTCTTTAATAGCTGTGTCTCTGTATCATTATACAGTACTCTTTCATCATTGCTTATCCTAGCAGTATGAAAACCGTGTGTCATATATGAACCTAGTAAATTGCTTAGTAGCCTTACCATCACTGTTTCTGTATCATTATACAGTACTCTTTCATCATTGCTGATCCTAGCAGTATGAAAGCCGTGTGTCATATATGAACCTAGTAAATTGCTTAGTAGCCTTACCATCAGTGTCTCTCTCGATCATTATACAGTACTCTTTCATCATTGCTGATCCTAGCAGTACGTAAGCCGTGTGTCATATATGAACCTAGTAAATTGCTTAGTAGCCTTACCATCACTGTTTCTGTATCATTATACGGTACTCTTTCATCATTGCTGATCCTAGCAGTATGTAAGCCGTGTGTTACATATGAACCTAGTAAATGGCTTAGTAGCCTTACCATCAGTGTCTCTGTATCATTATACAGTATTCTTTCATCACATCTGATCCTAGCAGTGTGTAGGACGTGTGTCACATATGAACCTATTAAATGACTTAGTAGCCTTACCATTAGTGTCTCTGTACCATTATACCGTACTCTTTCATCATTGCTGATTCTAGCAGTATGTAGGACGTGTGTCACATAATTTATGAACCTAGTAAATGACTTAGTAGCCTTACCATCAGTGTCTCTGTATCATTATACAGTACTCTTTCATCATTGCTGATCCTAGCAGTATGTAGGAAGTGTGTCACATATGAACCTATTAAATG